GGTAGTTTAGATCTTTACTAGTTAATCTAAGTAATACTAAGTAATTAGTTTTAAGAGTTCTACTTTTAATAATTCTTTATATAAAGACACTACTTATTACTACCTTATAGTATTTAAACCTAACTTACTTCCTAAGAAATAGACTAACTATAGATTAGGGATAAGCTATCGTTATACTAGGCGCCTTATAGTTTATAACCTTAATAGATATATAGCTTATAGTAATAATAACTAGCTTATTAAGACTAGTATAAGAAAGGGAAGATACTACCTTTATAGTTATTAGTGCTTAGGCAATATCTAATATATTCTTAGCTTTACTTAGAACTAGTATACATTAATATAATAAATAGCCTAGGGACTCTTATACTATTAAGTTTTCGTAGATTATATTACAACTAGTAATAAATATAGAGAGCTTACCTATAATAACATTACCCTAGCTAGGTAAGTAACTATATACTAATAATAATCTAAAGTATATTACTATAACCTATATAGGAAAAGTCAGATATTCAGTAGCTAATAATACTTACCTTTAACGAAGTTATATATAGAAGATAGATTATGTAATTAGGCTATATTATAACAGCCGCCTCCACCGACTAGTATAAGGCCCTAATAGTAACGTAGAAGAAAAGTCACTATATAAAGCTTATCAGAGATTAAGTTAGTCTAATATATCAACTAGAACATAAGTAGAGGAATAGTATCTAGTATATAGCCTTATAGCTCGTATTATTATTTTTAGTCCCTAGTAGCTCTTAGATTAGCTAATAGCTCTTGCCGGCTAATAACCGCTGACTACTGCTGACTACCGGCTTTAAAAGATAGTAGTTCCTAGATACTAAGTAAGTCTTATAAGCCTATAGTAGTTCTAATAGTGAGTTTTAGGAGCTAGGTCTCCTTTTAGCTAGTTAGATTTCTTAGTAGATATATTCCTACTATAAATAATACTAGAAACTTATAGGGCTTATTTACTATAGGAATATATTTACTAAGAAATCTAGCTAGCTAAAAGGAGACCTAGCTCTTAAAACTTACTATTAGAACTACTATAGGCCTATAAGACTTACTTAGCATCTAGGAACCGCTATCTTTTAAAGCTGGCGGTCAGCGGCGGTCGGCGGCGGTCGGCGGCGGTTGTCGGCCGGCAGGAGCTGCTAGCTAATCTAAGAGCTGCTAGGGACCGAAAATAATGATACGAGCTACGAGGCTTGTGACTATCTAACTTACTCGTTCGTCTAAGGGCGGCTGAGTCAAGGGCATCGTGTGGAGCCGACAACCCTGCAGATTTCCGATTAAAACCCATTCAGTTCTTATAGTTGTCCACTGTTTTTTTCCCTTCCGGGACAGCCGACCAACCAACCACCATCCGGGTTGATAAGAAGCACACCCAACATGGTAGCAGAAGATTCGTAACCGAAGATTGAGCAGCTTACTGGCGGTCATAGCTCGCAGCAGCAAGTCTCGCATAATTTTGGATTATATATTGACTCCTGTTGATCTATTACGAGCCATTTCTTCAAGCTTGGAACGCTCACCCGGGAGCGGAAGTTCCGGGAACTGTCTGTCTTCTACTGGGCAGTGGCCGGGTGGGGAGGCTACCAGGAATATAGCGCCCAGATCAATACAATGTTCTCAAAAGCAACTCTTCTTTTATCACTCGTCTAAGCCATTGCGCGGCATATAGCACTCAGCGAGATTCAGGGTGGAACGAAAACAGATCATAAGCTTACAGAATCACGAGGATTCTCGGGACCTTTCGGAGTCTCATACGAGGGCATCATATGACTACCTCCTTCCAGAAGGAAACGTGAGAATTCGGGACTTGTATGTGGAAAAGCTAGCATATAAGGTCAATCATGTACCCCTTCATGTTCGAAAAAAAAACCTCACAGAATCAATCGCCCTCAAAGCATCCATCACCTTCACAGCATCAATCACTCTCACAACCAGCTAGTCTCTTTACTCATCCTTTTACGACAACACTTGAATTGAAACTTGGACCTCACCCCTCTTCGAAAAGATGAAGATTGCTACAGCTTTTGCCATCCTCGCTACTTCGGCAACGGCTCACCCTGTCGAAGAGCGTGCCGAGGAAAACAAAGCCGAGATCTATGCTCACAACGTTCTGCACAAGCTCGAAATGCTCAGCTGGGACAAGTCACAGCCGCCCAAGTACGAGACTGGCAAGGACTGGCAGTACACTTGCGCCCCCATCTTGATGGGCAACTTGTTCGGCTCGAGCGCGGACCAGGTGCAGTTCTGGGAGAAGAATTCGATTCTGACCGATCGCCCGGTGAAAACGGAGGCATTTTACCTCTCCGTCGTGGACGCTACGAGTGTGCATACGGGATCCGAAGGGACCGGGAGCGTGGAAACCGCTCAGTCGACCACGAACACCAAGACGGAAACCAAGGGCTGGAACATTGGCGCAAAGGTGACCGGTAACTTTGGCAAGAAAGACGTGGCTGCTGGCGTCGTCGAGCTCTCGGGCCAGTACTCGGAATCCACGACGTTGACCAATACCGAGACGACGACGGTCACGTTCAAGGGCCCCTGCCCGCCAGCCCACGAGTGCCGCATCGAGACCTGGACTTTCCATCTCAACATCGACGCGACGGTCTCCCGGGAGCTGGGATACCAGGTCTGGAGCATTTCAAATGGGATGCTCGGCGAGCGTCCTCTGTGTCTCATGGAGGAGAAATTCAGGATCTGCGATCAGTTCACCTCCCGTTACGACGCCAACTGTGCCAAAGACGGCAGCTTCGGCCTTCTCGAGCCGACCAAGAATGTCCATCTGACGGTCCCGATCAGGGAGGCCAACGGCATTCAGGCCATGAGCCGCTTGGTCTTGGTCCAGGAGCCGCTGTCCTTGAAGAAGGCCAGGGACGAGTCAGTGCCGGCCAACATGGGAACAAAGGAGACCATCCAGAAGGCCATTGAGCAGGGGACCAAGTTTGAGTTCTTGAACTAGAGCGGAGTAAGGGGCTGGGGCGTTTGGTTCGCTCCACTCCAAGGGCGTGCTTCCACGTTGACTCGTTTAGAGGCAGGCTGTCAATCAACTTGTGGCCGTAGGTAGAGAGTACAGATCAATTCATCTTGTTTTGTCAAGACCAATGTCTGTTGCGTGATGTGTCGAATGCGTGAAGCAAGGTTGCACACCACTCAACGTAATTCAACCGGGTTAACGAAATTAACCACTAGCATCAACTCAACTCAATCAATATCACGTTCAATTACATAATACGTCAATCCTATATCACCAACCCGTAGATTAAGCTATTAACGTCGTTAATCTAGGGTACGATAGCTGTTATAGACCCAGCGCTGGTGCACTATACAAGATAGGGCCGCTCCTAACTAAGTAGATTCATAAATACTAATACTACCTAAATACGTCTATAACACCTCTTCTAAGTATATATATCTATAGTATAATACTAAGTTAAAAATATAATCTAACTTACTAAATAAAGATAAAACTAAATTATTCTATTATCTAATAACACTATTATTAAGTTTCTTAATAATACCTATACTAAGTTTATAGTTAATAATATTACTTTTAGACCTAGAGTATTAATACCTTTAGTATTATTTCCTAGACTATATATAGTTATAGTATATATATAATATATTATTTTAAATATAGTATTTTAAATATAATATATAGAATTTTAATAGTAATTACTAATAGATTTATAAACCTTATATTTAGATTAAAAGCCAATAATTATAAAGTATTATAAAGAAAGGTCTTTAGAATATAAATACCTATTTATTTAAAGATTATAATATATATATTCTTAATAAAAGAATAAAGTTATTAGCTTAAAAGAAAATAAAGAAAGTAAAGGCTAAATAAAGATCTACTACTAAAGTAATAAAGCTTAATATATAACTTTTATAAGAGTAAGATATTATAAATAGCCTTATTTAGAGCTTTAACTAAAAGTACTTCTAGTACTTCTTACTTAAGTAAATTATTAAAGAAAACTATTTCTTTTATATTTATAAATAAAGAAGGTTATATAGGATATTTAAGTATCTTAACGCTCTTATTAAGATTATTAATACTAATATTAGTAGGACGATAATTCGACGCTAAGTCCTCGTATCCTACAAAGCATATAAAGATAAGGTAGCAGCCGTGCTACAGAAGTCTCCCGGCCTAACCTGATAAATAAGACTATAGCCTCGGTTGCATCGCATACGAGATCATACCAAACATCTACCATATAATGCTACTGCGCGATACGAAGTTATTAAGAGAAATAAAGAGGCGAACAGGGTTGATATACCTTGTATTCAGTGTACCTTCTACATTGCCGCAAGGCTTACTCTCGTGTAATATACTTGCCTTCGTATTCGCTAAGAAACATGTTCGGCGGTATTAACAAAATACTATATAGTCCTTGTCCTTTGTGTATAATATAGTAGGTTTTATAGTAGCTTTAACCGTTATTAATGTATTTATTAGTGTATAATACACTAGCAGACCAGTTGTTATCATCGCACTAGTAATTTATCCTTCGATTCTAACATAAGTTATCACATAGTATGCTAGGGCTGCTGCAAGGCAGTAGCTTAGCTTATACGAGCTTCTATAGCTCCTTAATAATGCTGCGAGTATACTAAGAATATATAGGTAGTGTTGATGAGAACGCTTAGTGAACTTTTCGTTGTTGGTGGTTGATTCTACAAGTGTTAGCGCGGAGATAAGTGCACGCCTAGAAGTTCGTAATAGCGATAATAAGCGGCTTATTACTAAGTTAATGCCTATATCTATAAAGTAAACCAACTACTAAAAGATAAAGAGGCTTAAAGCATAGTAAAGGCCTTTATTAACTCTATAGTAACTTATGCTATTTCTAGTAAGATTATAAATAGTATAGTAAGTTTTTAATAAATATAAAAGTAAGGAATTAAGTTCTCTAGGTAAAGAGAGGTATAACCTTTATTTATTATTAAGATAGCTATCTTATATACTTAGTCTACTTAATTCTATAGTTAAGTATATACTATAGTAATTTAATACTTATATACTTTTAAGGTTATATTTACTTTAGACTAAGGTACTTTAGTATAGATATATTATTAATCCTTTTAAACTTACTATATTTTATTTTATATATAGTAAGTAAAGTACTAGTAGTGTTAGTTATTATTTAATTAGTTAGAGGCTATTATAAAAATTATATAATAATCTAAATTACTATACTACTTAGTTTATACTTTAGCTAATTTAATAAAGACTTCTTAGTAATATAGAGTAGCTACTTTTATAGCTTTTAATATAGCTTTTATAACTCCTATATATAAGTAATTTAAGTAGTATTAGGAATACCTTAGCTAGTAAATATATTATATTATTATAAGATAAAAGACTACTAAAAATAGTACTAATATAATTTTAAACTTATATAATTAGTTTAAATTATAAAATTTATTAGCTATAGTATAATTAGTATAATTAGTATTATTAACTTATTATATATAAAAGTAAATCTAAATTTATTAGGCTAAGGAATACTATTAGGCTCTTTATTAATTATATATTATAAATAACCCTAAGCTAAACTAGAATAAATATTATAAGTAAATTAATAAAATACTATAATATAAGTACTATATAATACTTATTCTACGGTTAATACTAGAAGAGCTTTATAATAGCTTATTATAAAAGTACTAAAACTATTCTTTATAAGGTATTTCTCTTAATAGTAGAGGTACTTTTTTAAGGTATAGTATAGTATATAATATAGTAGCCTTTTTAATACTTAGATTAGTACTCTTAAGCTTTGTTATTAGGCCGGTTTCTACTACTAGAAGCCCTTTCTAGTTACCTATAACTTAGTAAACTATAGTTAAAACTAGCTTACTTTACCTATTATATAAAGTACTTTAAATATATATTATTATATTAGTAGAGGTAAGCTAAATAGAAACTTATAATAATATTATATTTTATTAAATAACAAAAGTAATATAGTATAGTATAAATACTATAATTACCTATTAGATATTAGCTAATTTCTTAGGTATATAGTAAATATCTAGAAAGTAAATATAAGTTTTATATTATAGACTAGCCCTAGACTTCTATAAATAGGTGTTATAACTATTAATAATTCTCTTAAGGAGAAGAGAAAAAGGAGTAAAAAGAAACTAGCTATAAAGTATTAATATTATATAATAGGCCCTATAGGCCCCCTTTAGTTCCTTAATA